TCCAGTGACCCAGACACTGAAGCAGCCAGCTGCACAGTATCACGGAAAGGGCTTTGTGTTCCAGTCCAAATCCGGGTTCTGGTCCTGACCTGGCACTGCCGAGCGTGGGCCTCAGTTCTCTCACAGATAAACTGGGGGTGGTGCCCACCCCGCCCCCTCCCACAGCGATCCTGAGGTCCTCCCAGAAACCACGGCCATGCCAGTGTGTGCGGAGCCCCTGGTGGAGACGTGGGGGCTGTTACTGGCCGGAGGACTCCTGGGGCTTTGCTCCGGGATGCTACACGGAGGCCGGCTTCCTGGCCCCACCTCCAGGTGCTGCAGCCCCCGGGGGATTGGGGGCTCAGGCTCTTCCCACGCCTCTCTGGGAGGCGCTTCCGGGCTCCCCACTGGTCCCACACCCCAGCTCTGTCACATGCTCCCACAGCACAAGCAAAGACATCCGCAGTGGAGGGTGAGCGAGGCTCCGAGCAGGTGCAGAGGAAGCGCGTGTCGGGTGGGCAGCCGCCCGCCCCCCTTCCTGGGTCTCCGCCAGCCCCCGAGCGGCTGCACTTGTGACTTCCTCCAGCCCCTCCACCCACCGGCGCGGTGTCTGAGGGCAGCCTCGGGGCTCTGGTTTGAGTGGGTGGCTGTGGCCCCCATCAGCCTCTGTCCTTCCCTGCTCAGTGGCCTCTTCCCAATGCCCTGCTGCTGCCACAGCTTGGCTTGAGGCCTGGGGTGCCTCGGAGGGACAGAGAATGAGCGAACTAGTGCAATGTGCGTGTGTGACTGTGGGCGTGAGAATATGTGAGTGTGTGGTCTGTGGTGTGGTTGAGTGTGAGAGCGTGTGATTGTAAGTGTGCGGTTGTGAGTATGTGAGTGTGTGCGGGCGGGTGTGGTTGTGTGGTGTGATGTATAGTATATGGTTGTATGTGGCTGTGAGTGTGTGAGTGTGTGGTGTGCGGTTGAGTGTGGTGTGGTTGTGAACATGCTGTGTGTGTGTGACGTGTGTGTCTGTGAAGATGAGGGTGGGCTGCGCTGTGGCTGGGCCCGCCAGGCAGTGCAGGGACGTGTGGGGTCAGAGTGTGCGGCAGAGATTTCACAGCATGTGTGGCCCAAATAAAACCCTTAGAAACCTCACACTGGGTGGCTCAGAGCAGGACTAGGGGTCCAAGGACTGCCCGGCAGGACGTGAGTGTTTGGCGTCTGGGGAACCAGACTCACAGACCTGGGCCCGGCCAGTGGGTACCTGCAGGTGTTGGCCCAGGGTCTCGGGGTCAGGGCCCCAGGGCAAGGATGGCCCCTGGCTGAAACGCCAAGTGGGAGAAGGTCGCCGTCCACCCTCTCTTTTTCACCTCGTCTGCATTTCATTTCTCCTTTCTGACCGACGGGGCTGCTGTGCGGCCCCGGCGCTCCTGCCCCCAGGAGAAGTTGTGAGGAGCGGCAGCCCATGGACAGGCAGGGGACCCTGGAGCTCGTGTCCTCTGGGGCCAGTGCTTGACCAGAAAGAGGGAACCTGAGGGGAAATGGCAGTGGGAGGGAATGAGTAATACCAGGCAGACCGGGGGCCGCGCTAAGTCCTTCAGGTAAGTCGTTTACCCTCCATGGTAACTGAGGTTTTCTTATCCTCCCTCTGTGGGGTGGGAAGAACATTTCTCATAAGGTTCTTGTGAGGGGCGCACGAGGCAGGCACTACTACAAAGGGCTGGAATGCAGTGTGAGCACAGAGGAGACCAGCCCTTGTCGTCAGGGTGGAGGTTGTCCCCATGCGCTCTGCTCCATCATCACATCACCCAGCTTTGACCTCCCATGTGGCCAGGCTCCAGAGGACCATCTCCTGGGTTTTCCAGATGGAGGGCCGAGATGCTCAGGTGCCCCTCCCTGTGACCCAACACTGCTCCCCGCAAAGACACACCATGAGAATCCCTGGCCCCCTGCACTCACCAGGGAGCCTGCCCAGTTAGAGGCACCAGGCTCAGTCATCCTGTTCCCTCTTGCTGAGAACTTGGACCGCAGTCTGGCCTGTCCCAGAGGGAGCCACTCCGTAAGAGCAGGGCTTTGAGGAAGGTTACCCTTTACAGTAACTAGACTTTCTGCTACAAGAAATGGTAGAGTTTTGGTAAGATTTCTTTCCTGAATACTGTCACATTCCTGTTGGCAGTCTAAGGTTAGAACCCACATATGTGGAAATTTAGGACGAATGCTAATGTGATTTATTAGCAAAGACCAGGATTTTAGATTATTTGCCTCCACACACGTAAACAAAGACTTTTGACCCTTGGGAGGGTGGATTGGCCATCCATTTCTTTATCGACCTTAGGAGAGGTTTGCAAGCTTCTAGAACTCCTTGAATTTCACACCTCAGCTATGTCCCTTCCCTTCCTGCTTCAGCTTTGGCCAGCTGGAGGCCGTCTCTCTAGGCTTGCAGCTTCTCTCTTGGTGCGCCCCTGGCTGCTTAGATACCTAGTCTTTCTGAGATAATCTCTTATTATCTTTATTGCACGAGCTCCTTCGTGGAGTTTGTTATTTCTAAGAAGCTTAGGGGTGGGGAACTCTGTCTCTGCCTTGGGGACAGACCATAACAGAATCAGCTCCTCTCTGCTGTCTGCTGTTCTGAGGAGAGATGTCCTATCCTGAGTCTTGGGGAACGTCTTGGAACAAGTCATATATATGTATACATATATGACAAACCAAAATCAGCTGCTGTAAACAAATTCTCAACCACAACTGGGTCTTAGTAAAGTGTAATCATTATTACATATGGATTTTTAAAAAGAAAAAACATCAAGATACTTCAAGAACCTGGGGAAGGTTTTCTTATCATTGGAAATATTTAAGTAGTTCCCTGAATGGTTGCTGGACACTGAGCATGGTTATCTGATTTATCATCAACAGCCCCACAGTTGATCGTTACTCTCCTGTCCCGGGCTGCATAGTGTCCCTCGAAAATTCGTCTCTGCCTGGAACCTCAGAATATGACCTGATTTAGAAGCAAGAACTCTGCAAATGTAATTTGTTAAGATGAGATCAGGCTGGATTAAGGTAGGCCCTCCATCCAATGACAGTTGTCCTTGTAAGAAGGTCACGTGAAGGCACAGGGGGACACCCAGGGAGGATGCTGCGAGATGATGCAGGCAGACTGGGGGGATGCAACTACAAGCCAAGGAATGCCAAGGATGCTGGCAGCCGCCACAGGCTGGGAGAGAGACGGGAACGGATTTCTGCTCAGAGCCTCCAGAAGGACCTGACCCTGCCAACATCTTGATTTCAGACTTCTAGCCTCCAGAATGGTGAAAAAATAAATTCCAGTCCTTTTAGGCCACCTGGTTTGTGGCACTTTGTCACAGAAGCCCTGGGAAATTAATACCCCTCCAAAATGGATGACTTTTAATTTGTTAGTTACCCCGTTCAGGCTACAGACCAGCTTCCTTCTTCAGAGAAGGGTTTCTCTGTCCAGTATGCTGCATGAGGAGCAGGTGGATTTGGGGTGGGACATATTATGCTTACTATCACCTATTGACAACATCAGTTAAGAACAATAGAAGGTTGCAGTTTTAGTGACATTTCTTGGCCTTTGATTCTAGGAACTTGGATAAACTGCCTGAGCTCAGGACGGGCTTGCAGGTTATACATTAATACAGAAGCTATACCTTAATCCTTCAGCCCCAGACATGACTCTTTGGTGGGTCAGAGAGCAGCTTCCTGGGGGGCAGAGGGTGTTAGGTTCTGACCCACCTTGTAATTGTGGTTCTCCTGGAATGGTTTGCTCTCACTGCAGAAGCAGCTAATAGTCATCCCCATCATAGAGAACAGAGACCTGAACATTGCTGACGACCACGTCTCCTGGCTGCAGAGGAGCCCAAGGCTCTGATCCTCTGATCCAGGCTCCAGAACCAGGAGTGGGCACGGCAGTTGGTGGGGCTGAAGGGGAGATGCAGGAGGACTGTGGAGGGCAGACTGGGGGAGCATGCGGCATGGAAAGCATTGTGTTCAAGGCCTGGGTAGATGCAAAGGTTCTGCCCCATATCAGGCAGGACTGAAGGCTGGGAGGAGCTCTTCCCCAGAGAAAGCTGCCCACACACAGACACCCCGAGGGAGAGTCTGGGGTGGTGTTGGGGGCTTATAGGATACGGCAAAGTTTAGTACCAGAACCTAGCAATGGCCTCAGTAGACAAAGGGGTCCTTTATCTAATCACTGTCCCCCAAGAGACTTGGGGTCCACCATTCTAAAACCTAAGTCATCATTTAACTAGTCTCCAGCTGGTAGTCCTATGAAGGGAGTTTATTCATTTGATTAATTGAGTTTTGATTCACAGCATCTTGATCTTCAAGGTTACCCCAGGCAGATGTGAGATTCAAGGTCAAGTATTCCACAGATGCTTTACCAACGTTTTGGTTAATGCCTAAGGGAAGCACTGGTTGTACCTGCTTTCAGTTTATTCCATCATGAATAGTCTTAATTACGTTTTATAACACAGAGCGTGGGGGTCTTGGCCATTGGTGTCGACCCCAACCTGTTCTTTCATGGAAGATCATCTCAGTCCCACTAGCAGGCAGTCTCCTTGCCCCTCTTAGCCCAGCATGGGAGGTGGGGGAAACTCCGGTTTAGACACATGTCCTGGGGTACCTAAAAGTGCAACCAAAGCAAACTGCCCGGAAAGGGTTGTCTGGGAAACAGACGGTATGGGGACAAATGTAGTCTGAGCCTCCTCAGTGGCAATCACAGTCTTTAATTATTCATTAATTCGCATTTTTGATTTGTTAGCAAGTGCCAGCTTGTAGGTGCTAGTTGAAGTACAGAGCTTAGAGGGAAAAAAAAACAAAACAAAACCTTAGCTCTCTGGAGATCAGCCCCTCCCTGGCACCATCAAACTGCCTCTTTCCTCCCCTTCCACTCAGAATTCTCCAGATAGAGGGGCTGGGAGAATCTGACGACCCTCATACCCTCTTAGGTCTCTGTGAGTGACAGAAAGGGGAAGGACTGTCTCCCCTGAGGTGGGGCTTGTGAAAGACCAGTCCCCATGTACATTTTCTCTTCTTCCTCCTCCTTACTGTAGAATTCTGTCTCCCCCAGGAGAGCAGAGGCTCTTGTAGAGAGATAGGAGATGCTAAATCTAGCTTCAACACTCGTGTGTCTCACGTGCTGCCCTTCAGCAAACCACTTCACCGCTGAGGATCTCAACTTTCTCACGTCAAATGTTAAATGCTAAGAAGGTGTGTTTATAGCTCCTTGTATGTATGCGCGTGTTACATGAGCCCTAAGGCCTTAGGACTCCTCCCAACACAGGCGGAAGTGAGTGTATCTGGTGAGGATTTCAGACCATGGTGAGTACACAGAGATGCTGTGGCTTCCAAGGATTCAGTGATGTTTACAGAAAGGCCGCCGGTTGGGCTTGTGGCGCAGTGTCTAGCAGAGCGCCTGGGTTCTAGTGAGTATCCAGATACGTATTTTTAATGAAAGAAAGAAGAAGAGAAGATGGAAGGGAAGGAGGGATGGAGAGACGCAGGGATGGTAGAAGGGAGAGCCCATCACTGACATCCCAAACTAAAGGTGCAGAGAAGCCCCGGACGGCCCTCCTTTCTGAAGTCATCTCCCCACCCCTTCTGGTCTCTTTTCTTTCTGAGAGGCCCCTCCAGGATCTTAAATCTCCTTCCACACCTTAGTTCTGTTGTCAGGACTCAGCTGCCGGTGGGAATTCCTCACGTCACCTCACCCCCAACAGGAACAAGTAAGCCAGGCTTGGACCACCGAGAAGGGACCGCCACACCCTCTGAGGACAGGGAGGAAAAGCCTAGGTGGGGGGTGAGTGCAGGCAGTGGAGCCCCCGGAGCTGAGGGCCCTGAGAATCAACGTGATTCTGAAGGTGATTGTCGTGTGCGGAGGGAGGGGCAGCCCGGGCGCTGCCTAGGCTTCTCTGGGGCCGTCCTGGGCGCCGGCGGCCATGTTATTGGCCTGGAGCAGGAAGGCGGTGAAGGCCGCGTCGGCTTCCTCCTTGGATGACTGGGGGCGACAGGAGAGGAGTCAGTGTTTGGGGCATTGGCTCCGTGAGTTGGGGGGTAGGAGGGAGGGGACGCACGAAGTATCCCAAATTCCTAATCTTGGCCCAAGCACCCCACACCCGTGTTGACCCATTGTTCTTATTCCAGCCACCGTGCTCACCAGGAAGGCCTAATTTTGAGAAACGGAAAGTTGCAGCTTCTAAAAATATCACCCTCTGTCTCACTACCTCCTTCCAACACATGGAGTGGAACCACCTCTATTGCCTGGGCCTGTCCCCGGAAGCCCGGCCCACAGCCACGGCCAGGGCGGCCTGCGCTGGTGTTAGCCACAGAGGTTTACACTCTTCTTTCTCTACCAGCTCAGAGACACAACACAAGGCTGAGGGGAAGGCTGGTTCCCCTAATTGTTCCGAATGCTGGGGTCTCTGCTGCTGCCAGGCAGAGAGGATGGATAACAAGCACGGGTGCCCGGGGGTCAGGGGGGCACCGGGAGGGGGTGACATGTGACCCAATGGCAGGGGTCGCCTCTGGTAGGATGCAGCACTTGGTTGGGGCGGAGAGGGGCATGTAGTGACTATAACAGCAGCTCCCCCACCCCACGAGCAAATGTCCTCCAGGCCCGGGGACAAGCTGCCCCCACAAACCCTCTAGCGAGGGTGATGACCTGGGTCCCACGGCCCGGAAAGAACACCCACCTAACCCCCAGTGTTTGACACTGAACTGCTGAGCCTGCGGCCGAATCTTTAATGCCTTTGCCTTCCTCATCACCCACCCCCCGCCCCCGTCATCTCCCTCCCTCCTGCCTGTTTACAGCCTATAAGCACGGCTCACCTCCTGCCTGTATTTCAGCCACATCAACACCACAACAGGAAAGGTATACACCTTGCCTTTGAAAAGTCCTCCTGAATGCTCCCCTACTCTGGCCCAGCTCCCAACTCCTGAGACAGTGCTTTCTGATGTCTAACTGCAGTCCCTCCTGCTGCATTTCCTCATCACCCACCTGAGGCCTCCTTCTCCCTCCTCGCCCTTACCCTTTTTGCCTTCTTGGGTTCTTTGGTCTCCGTGGTGTCCTCAATAGTGGGGGCCGACTCTGTGTGAAGAGCAGGAATGGGTGGATCAGCCCTCCCTGCCTCCCATTCCTGCCCTGGACGCAGAGTCAGGGCTAATTCTTGCTCCCCAGGGCATGGGCATGCCTTTGAGTGAAGCTCGTACCATCTTTTCCTCCAAGACTTGTCTCTTGAGTGTCTGGAGAGGCTGCCGTGTTATCGTGGGCTCCAAAGTCCCTGGAGTTCTCAAAGTCCGACATGCTGATGTCTGTCCTGTAACTTCTGATTGAAATCCGGTCTGTCCAGGAGAAAGAGGAGTTAGTGTAGGGATAGGGGCCAGGGATGGGCCAGGACAGGGGGTGCTGCTCGTCCCTGGGGGAATCCACAGGAGAGCTGAAGTGGGGCCAGATCTCTGCCGCTTGTCTCTGACTAGGACCCAAGGCAGAATGGAACGACCTGAGTGTCCTCCCCAGTCCCCTTTTCACAGACAATCTAGACTCAACAATCCCCAGCCATCGTTTATCAGTCTGTGACCTTTCAGTGCACAGCATCTTGTTTTGTCCTCACGTGAGCCCTCAAAGGTGGTTATTAGCCCCCTTGTCTTGAGCCCTGAGGAACCTGAGGTATGAAATGGGGACACCCGGTGTCACACAGCCCAGGTCTCCCAGCATCTTTCCCTCCTCTTCCCAGCAGCTCTGTCTCCAAACTTAGACCCTGAGCAATGGACCCAGGCTTCCAGAGACAGCATTTGGACAGCGGCACCTAGTGTAAGTTTTGGGCATCTGTGGGTTTATCTTTCCCCACCTCACTTTCCCAGACCCTTGCTTTGAGCCTATGAAAGAGAAAGGACCATGACAGCTCCCTGAAGGGTCGCTGAGCCAGGATGGAGGGCTCGGGGCTGGAGGTGGGTGACAGGGACTCACCGACGTTCTTCCTGTGCCGCGCCCTGAGCACCCCAATCACCAAAACCCCCAGCGCCAGCACCAGGGCCACGGGCACCAGGACGGAGACCAGCACTTTGGAGCTCCTGCCTTGTGCTGCAGAGCTGGAGGAAGGATTACGTCAGTCAGTCGCTGTGAGGGAAACCGGGAGTCCCAGGAGGTGCTGGCAGGTTGGCTCTGGCTAGTTCTTCCTCCCAGGTTAATCTGCTCCCCTTCTTCCTGCCACAGCCCCTGAGCTCCATTCTTCTAAGAAGCCCTCCCAGACACGACAAAGGCAAAGACGGGGCCTTCGCTGCATCCCACCCAGGCCTGGGAAACTGAGCTGAATGGTGATGGCTGTCCCAGCCCCAGAAGAAGGGCGGAGCACAAGCCGAGGCAGTGAGGGCTGCCGCCACTGTCCAGAGGTGGACAGGCTCTCCTCCTCGGACCTGGTGGCCCAGCCCCAGGCCTCTGGTGTCTGGAATGTTCTTTAGGTGGGAAGCCCCAGATCCCTCCTCACCTGCTGGAGTCTGCAGGTACTCCGCTCCCACCAGCTGGGTCTTCAACTTTCTTCACTGCCCTTTCCTCTGCAGAAAGTCTGGGATCCAGAAGAACTTTGTTCTCAATGTCCTCCCTGGCCCGTGGCTCTATGGCATCCTCCTCACGAGCAGCACTCGCTTGGCGAGCATCCTGGGTCCCTGGAGAGAGCAGAGTGGGGCTGGGTTACGGTCCTTCCTCTGTGTTTTCTGCCCTTGAGGCCAGGGAGTCAGAGGAGCGGGACTTCATCAGGAATCCCTGGCCAGGGTGAGATCTCAAGGCGGCTGGGATAGGGTCCCGGAGGGCACCAAGGGGTGGTGGTCTTCTCTAGTCTGTCGCGGATGATCTCTGTCCCATTAAGACCAAATTCATTTCCTATAAGCTACAAGGCTCCGAATCACAGATCCGGCTATGTGGAAGGGCTGACCCGTCATTTGCGGACAGGGAGATTTTTTTCCCACAGCTTTGAAACCCTGCCAAGGCCTCCTGACTGCAGGGCTGGGCACCATAGTGCTGCCCCCTGGTGGTAGCGTGGCTAGGGTTCCCTCGTCAGTGAGCCAGGATGCTGACTTGGTAAGATTTCTAGAGGGACTAAAAATACCCTCACTAGGGATAAAACATTTCATGTGATATTTTTAAAAGAGGCTTAAAATGCAAACTTGCCAGCAGAGGTTGCCCTAATTTTCTTTATCAGACCTTGAATCAGACCGTGGTGATCTCAGTCTCTTTTGAGCAGGCTTTGGCAGACTAAGAGACATATAATCGTGACTTTGACATTTCTGTATATAGAAGGAGAGATCTACGTAGAGAAAGGGCTTCAAGATGGCCTGAAAGGGCAACCATGGGGCTTGTCTTGAAACTGAAGTTAAATGGCAGATCCACTATTTTTAGTTTGTATGTTTTGGGGGATGCTCTTTTGGGAGGCCTAAAGAGACTATGCGGGGGCTGAAATCTCTCCCTCGCCCCCACTTTTTATAGCCAAACCCAGGGACCACCCTTGATGGAGACACTCTTAGGCGGGAGCCTGTCGCTGGGGTCTCAGGGGGATGGGGGCCTGGCCCTTGGACACTCACCCTTTACCCTCGTCTCCACCGCCACGTAGACCGCTGCGGTCTCTCCGTACTGGAGGCCGTCCTTCACCCCGCACCAGTACCAGCCTTCGTCCTCCTTGGTGACGGGGTTCAGGTTCAGGGAGGTGATCTGGCTCTGCTGGCTGCAGTTCACGAAGGCTTGGCTGGCGCCCTGGTCCTGGCTGGGCAGTGTCCTGCACCCGGTGTTGCTCCATTTGCACCAGTACTTCTCGGAGGAGTAGAATTTGCACGGGAAGTGGCAGGGCAGCTTGAAAGACTCTCCCAGCCAGGCAGTGACGTTCTTGGATACCTTGAGGCTTGGTTCTCCTGGAGCAGGGAGATAGGGAGAAATAGGCACAGAAGTTGGCAGTGGTGATGTCGCAGGGAAGTGACTGTGCGGGGGCACCTTTGTCCACAGTCCACGTCCTCTTTGGACAGTGTGGTGACTGAATAACACTTCCCTGAACACTTAAGCACTGTAATTGTATGCCTGTGTGGTAGATCAGCGAGGACCGCCGTGATCAGCCCAGCCTATCACAGAACATAGACCCTGCCAGCGACTTGCGTTCACTTCCCCTGCTGTCATCTTCTCTCCTAGACTCAATACAGAGCCGCGCTCTACCCCAGCTGATGCCGCAGATAAAGAGGCCAATGTTCTCGATAATAGGAGGTGTTACGTGTGGTAGCTTGAAGCATGTGAGGTAAGGGAGGATGCTTGTTACAGGTGTAAAAATGTGACCTTTCGACAGGTGGGCGCTCTCCTGAGGCCCATCCCACCAGCACGGAGGTGGGAGGGAGAGTGACTGGGGCGTGATGCTGCAGCCGACTGGAGGCGTCCTGGGGCTGCCTCCCTTCCCTCCTGCCCCAGCTCAGCTCTTACCTTCAACAATCTTGAGCTCCACCACGGACCTCCAGCTAATATCGCCGTTGGTCAAACACCAGTAGAAGCCGGCGTCCTGGGTGGTGAGCTGGTTGAGTATGACGGTGTAGACGCCGTTGCCTGGCTCCTCATACAGCACGAGCCTGCCCTCGTACTGCTCATCAACCAGCCCGTTGCTCTCCACCAGCTGCCGGCAGCGGCCATTCTGAGTCTCTTCCCAGCGGCACCAGTATTTCAGGCTATCTTTCTCCTTAGGGTTGTAGGGGCAGGACACGACCACGGAGGATCCCACCACACCCTTCACCACTGAGCGGCTTTGGGGGATCTGGGTCTCTGGAAGCACAGACAGAGGCGGGATGGAAGAACACAGCGTGGCTAAGGCAGGGTGGAGAGTGGGGCTTAGACCCATCCTATCACCCTCCGCAGAAAATGAAAGGGACTTGCCCAGTGTCACAGAGTTCATAGCTGGAGCCATCTGACCAGACTCCAGGGACCTTCACCACTTCACTGAATGAAGTACCTCGTTCCCTTTCCCCTCCAATTCTGAGCAGAGACGGGAAGGAGGTTAAAGAGCAATGATCAGCCTTTCTCCTCGGGCTTCTTACCAAATCTCCCCCGGGGACGTTTTTGTCTGTTTCTGAGCCTGTCCCACAAAAATGGCCAGATGGTTTTTCTCCAAATTAAGAAAATATGTTTATAACTGTAGGATTTAAAATGTGTAGCAGAGGTAAGTTTAATTGTAGAGGACGCCAAGGGCCATCTCCAAGAGAAATATGGCCATCCTCCCAGGAGAGAAGCTGAGCTTCCATGAGAACCCGGGGTGACAGAAGATGCTGAGGGGGTGTGGTGAGGGCCGAGCTGGACGGAGAAACAGTGCACAGGGGGCGTGGGCCCCACGGGAAAGTCACAAGGGCAGTGACCTTGAACCACAGGTGCTGGTCTGCTGCTTCTCATGAGGGTGACTCTATGCAGAGCACTCCAGGCTGAGAAGGAGCAGGCATTTAACCAGATCGTGCTGAATAACAAATGAACCTAAAGGATGTTGGAGGGGAGAATTTAGAAGCTGGGGCATTGGCTTTCTGGCAAAGCTGTGAGACCCACGGAAGCCAATCTTTCTTCCACCTGAGTGTGAAAGATGAGATGCTGTCCTGCTTGAGGGTCAGGGAGATCCTGTGTTAGGTCCTCCCCGTGGCTCTCTGAAACCCAGACAATCTACAGGTCTGGTCTCAATCAGGGCCTTCACTCCCTCATTCTTATTGATCAAGGACAGCTGTCCAAGGCCTTTGATAACAGAGAAGAAGAGTTAGGAGATCACACAAGACAGAGGCTATGTTTTCTGGCTCTCGCGTACAGCTGCCCATGGAGCATCCGGTCCAGGGTTGATCAGCTAGCAGACATTGTCAACTGACAGAGGAATATCAGATAGGTTCACAGGGAGTGAGCGAGGCTCTCATCTGCCGGACTGCCCACCCCTTCCCTCTCCCCGTCTCAGGTCTCACCTTCGTTGACGAAGAGTTGCCAAGCCTGGGTGGACGAGCCTTTCTGGGGCACGCCGTCAGAGTCAGCTCCGCACAGGTAGAGCCCCGCATCCTCTTTCTTCAGGCCAGTGATGTGCACAGTAAAGCGGCCATTGTTGCCAGTAGTGAGTAGGATCCTGCCCTCAAAGTCAGGAGCCTTCGTCTTCAGTGTGTTGATGACCACATCACAGGCTTCCTCATTTTTCAGCCGGCACAGAAATTTGGGCACACTCTTCACCTCGGGGCCCAGGTCACAGTCAATGGTCACTGAGCCCCTTAGGTCTCCATAAATCAGCTCAGGATCGGGCTTCAGCACTTGGAGGTCAGCATTGCTCTTATCGGCGCTGGAATCGTCCCCAGCCTGGCAGACGTACATCCCAGCATCGCTGAGCTGGACTTGGTTGATGACAAAGCTGAACACTAATTGGCTGGTACCCTGAATACTAATATGTGCTCTGCCCTTATAGCTGGGGTTCATATAGTTGTTGGTGTCGGCGATGAGGACACAGCTCTGGCTCATCATCTTGCACACCGATTTCTTCTTCTGCAAATTTGCAGCCTTGAAAGGGCAGCTGATGGTCACTGTTCTGCCCAGATCTGCTGTGTAGACTCGGACATCATTTATCTGCCCAGGACCTGTGGGATGAGGGGCGGGGGGCCAGTTGTGATTTTTTTCTTGACACATAGGACTGCTCAGTGTTGCCAGTGAGGGGCTGGGTGTGCCTGTCACCCAGAGTGCCCTCTTCCCCGAAGGGACGCTGTCTTCCAAGGCTCAGCTGCCTCCTCCAAGAAGCCTTCCCAAGCTGGCACTCATCTCTCCCTCTCCTGTTCCCCGTTGATACTTACTTACCCTGTGTCACTCATTACATCCAATCCTGTGGTCTTTGGGCAAGAATTAATCATTTAATTTATGATGAGAGTTTTTTGTTAATTAAAATTTTTTTATTTTAATTTTCTTGGAGGGGAAGGTAACTAGGTTTATTTCTTTCTTTCTTTAATGGAGGGACTGGGGATTGAACCCAGGTCCTCGTGCTTGCTAAGCACGCACTCTACTGCTGAGCTATCCCCTCCCCACTATGCTGAGAGTTGTGATGGACTAACGGATCTCAGGTAAGAAAATGCATCATAAAAGTTTTCTGGTGACCCAAGGTCTTCATCTGAAGGATGCTCTAATAGCAGGAATTTAAGGCTCCCTATGAGTCTCTCCCTGCTCACCGGCCTCTTGTCTCACCCGCAACAAATGGAACGAGAGAAGCTGTCCTCCTGATGCTCCTCCAAGATACAGCCTTAGTAACACCCGACAATATTTTAGGCCCTGAAGACCTAGATCCAGCCACCCTCCCCTCCCCTCAGCAGGGCCCATCTGCCTCGTTATCATATTCTATTATGCAATGTCCTCCGCTCCACATGGACCCACGGCCTTCCTCAGCCCATGCCAGGATGCCCTTCCCTCTCGGGAGATTCTGCCCTTCGAGCCCTTCTGTTGCCCCTGAGATGATTCCCTCTCACTTGGCCCCAGGGTCTAAGGAGCCTGGACTCTCACCTCGGCTGACCTCCAGGCTCACATCGAAGGACAGGCCTCGGCTGCTAATGCCCAGACCACACTTGTAGCGCCCGGAGTCATTCCGGGTGAGCTGGGCGACGTCTATCACGAACGTGCCGTTCTCCGGAAAGTTGGTGAGGTTGGCTCTGCCCTTGTAGTCGTCGGAGACATACCCCCCTGAGGAGATGAGGGTTGTGCAGTGGCCCTTGGCCTCCTGCCGGCACCAGTATTTTCGAGAATGCCGGTTGACGGAGGTGGATGGGTAGAAGCACCTGATGGACACCGAGTCGCCTTCCACCCTGCTCACCTCCTGGGGGCCGAATATGGGACTCTTCGTGGAGACCACTGTGGGGACACAGACAGAGGCTTTCTGAGGCTGTGGGAGGTCCAACCTGCTGAGAGGATCCAGACAGCCCGCACCAAAAAGATGAAACTTTCCTCCTAACACACACCATCTGTGGATAACTTACTATGTGATACAGCTAGACAGTTGCTGCTTGACAATGGATAAATTGCAGTTATTAAACATCTACTAAATCCTAGTCGCAATTCATTAACGATAACCACTTTAAGGGCAACGGAATGGCCAACTTATTTAATGATATCTTTTGTGTATCTATATTAAAAGAGCCCCCCCCCCACCATGGGGTGCTACACTGTTGCATTTGTTATCTGTCATTTCCTTGTTTTTCTAAAAACGCTTTATCAATTACTTTCTTTTTTTCCAGATAAAAATATTGAGAGCCACAGGGGCAGGGCACTTTCCCCAGACCCCAAAGCAACTCATAGTGATGCCTAGTTCAAGGTCAAGGTCTTTTTTTATTTTTTAATTAAAAAAAATTTTCGAGGGGGAGATAATTAGGTTTATTTATATATTATTTATATGGAGGGACTGGGGATTGAACCCAGGACCTCCCGCATGCCAAGCGTGTGCTCTACCACTGAGCTACACCCTCCCCCCCTTTCTTTTTCTTTATTGCCAGTGAAGTCCCTTCACCGGACCCCTGGTTTTGAAATCAGGAAGTGCCATTTCCATTCCTGATGCCCAGTTCTCTTTCGCCAGTCCATTTGCGGAGGTGGCCTTTCTGCATGGTCTCTGCGGCTCCTCAAGACAGGGCAAGCTTTACAAGGGACGTCCCCGGGGATGGGCCTGATTTCAGGGTCCCCAGAGAACTGGGTCCTGCATGGGGGTGGGCTGGGACCTGGCCGACGCACCTGGGAAGACAGCCAGCAGGCAGACGAAGACGAAGAAGCGTGTCATCGCTGGTGGCTCCCGCAGGGCTGTGTCACTCAGGTCAAGTTCCTGCACAGTTGCTGAAAGACAGTAGCACGAGGTTGTGAAACTCCTGTTTTCCAAGACTGTGGATCTTGGAGTTCCTGTAATACCTGTTTGATTTTGTATCTCCATAACGGACATAAAACCTGTTAAAGAATGAATGGCTCCACCTTTCCCATTACAGTTCAAAGTCCCAGCTTCCCATAGGGATCTTTGTTCCTTGTTAGTTATAAGTAGAGTTTTACCTTCTCAGCTAAGCTGCAAGCTCCTTTGGGATAGGAACACAGGTGTCATTTCCTCTGTATCCCTGTCCGGGAGACACGGGCCTGGGACAGGTCCGTTCTCAGGAGCAGCTCGCCGGATAATCGGTTACTTCCAAGAAGCAGCTGCATCTCTCTGTTTTGACTGCCCTCCCTGCGTCCGTGGGGCGTATTTTACAATGCATCATATGAGTAAACTGAGACTTACCGAGGAGGCCTAGTAAGGATTAAAGTTGTAAATTTAATGATGAT